ACTACACATATTTGAATTTACACAGTGGTAGAACCCGCTTTAACATCTTCGCACGAATGGGTCGGTTCGTCCGGTGTAATACCATGACCACACAGAAAACGGGCGTGAAGTGGACGCAATTCCGCGTTTCGTCTGATGAGTGTGGTGCCGGAGGCCTAATTTTAGTCCATTTCCCTTTCCACCCTTTTCTTAAGAGGAAAGGATGAAAAGGAAAAGTGGATTTGATAGTGGGAGAGACGCATAGAAAGGGAAATTGTCCTCTTTATGTGCGTCTCGTCAAGTGTAGGCAACGCATCTGTAGTTGCGGATGTTTATGGGCAGCGGTCGCTTTCCATTTCGGTGGATTTAGGTGGCCGCTTGTTCGTTTGCCACCATATACTATAAAAAAAACATATGTGCAAATATATCTAGTTACAATAAATTACATTATTATATTGCAGTTATATATACTCAAGTCAATTGCTTTAATAAATATGTATTTAATAGTTGGTATCCGCCATGATTTATATTCATACATATTTATTATTTATTCATCATCAATTGCTTGTTGATTTAATTTATTTACTAGCTTACGATCGCTACTCCAACCTCTGTAATAAAAAAAAGTAGTCTATGTGTTCTTCCAGACTACAACATCGATACCAAATTCTATGCATATCCGTTCAGCAAAGCTATATATAAAGTAACAAACATCCATCCATCTGAACGCTCGCATTTATAATATTAATAAGATTTCCTATGGTATATGTATTTTACGCAAATTGCTAAGACCCATACAGACGCTCATTAGGGGATTATTCCCATCCGTCACCCTGCTCTGTCCCCACGTGAGAATGAAAAGTTTCATCCGTCCCACCTTTTAGTCCCACTATCACCATTAGTGACAGGTGGAACCGTTATGAAATAAAATACGTTGCAACCGACCCTCGTCGCAGAAGGTGGGATGGACGGAATTTTTTATTCTCATCTGTCTCTACGTGGGTACAGAGCGGGGTGACGGTTGGGAATAATCCTTTTTAGAAAGTGACAGAACTAATTATAGTCCGACTGAGACATATCGCTTTGTATAATAGGCAATATTATGTAGGTTAGTTCTGTCAGGAAAAAAATGACTAGTTTTTTTTAATTAATCGGCCATATTTGATTTGATATTATCTTCAAAATCTGTCTGGAGATTTGTATAGTAACGATTTCTATTATAATGTATAGATTTTTACACTAAACCTCTACAAATGTAAATTACTAGCTTATGTTTACAATTTCGTCCGCGTGGAAATATTAAGTTACTCGCAGATAATAATTTATCTAAAAAAAATCGATCCAATAATTTTTACGTGAAACAATTGCATAATAAAATTTTTTCTTCTTCGTAATGCTAGTATGGATTTATTCATGAATGCAGATAATGATTTAGTTTTTTTCCGTTTAATGCCACTTGTTAATAAATAATGGTATAATTGAATGGCATTGGAACTTTGAATTGCTAATACTAATGGTACCACATAATAAAAATAAAAAAAAACAGCATGCATGTATAAATACATCGAAAGGATTAATATGAAAAAATACTTAATGTGATTTGATTGGGAAAAAATTAGTATAAAAAGTATCGAAATTTCAAAACGTTTTTATTGTCAAAGTATTTTTATCTACACAGCCATACAAAAGAGTTAAACGAGTTTATTATTTATGTTTGTTAATGTTACCTTTGAATTATCAAAAAAACATTAAAAACAAAACAAACACAGAAAGAGGATATCCCCACTTCTACTGCTTCCTCTCCTTCATACTCGTAAAATCCAACAACTCCGCCTTCCCACACGCATAAG